CCGGGGGGGGGGGGGGGGGTGCGCACCCCCTGCACCCTCCCCCTAGATCCGCCCCTGTAATAGCAATTTACGCTAAGTAGGTTCTTAATCAGGTTCGTATTTCCTATGAAGGAGATATAGCTGTTGACTATCAGAAACATAAATAAACTTGGTATGACCCTTAAATATACAGCTGCCATCCGTCTCCTTTGGCTCTTTTGGGGAGAAACGGACAGATAACTGCTGCACTGGAAAAGTCAAACTATCACAGTCCACGTAGACATCGAGTCTATTGGGGGCGGCAAGCCTACAACATAAGAGGCCGACTTTTTCTGCGGGAACTGCAGGATGAATGCCAACTGTGTTACCGTCTGGTTACCTCAATGACTGTCATGCCGCTGTACTGAAAGTCATGACTCTTAAAAGATAGGTCCATAAGTTCCCGATGGTCTATTTTCATCTTTGCGATCTGCCTCGCCCTCGACCACCTCGCCCCCGACCAACACGCCTGGGGCTTCTGTCCATGTAACCGCTGAATATTGCATTAAGTGGAAGGCGCGGACAAGGGTTGATCAAAAGCTGCCGGCAGTTTTCAAGAAGAACGTTTCGTCTAAGAGCACTGACAACTGCCAGGAGGTCTGGAAATTTCTGGTTGGCTAATTCAAGATTATTGTCTTGTAAATCTCTCTGCAAAGGAAAAGCAAACAAAGGTGTAAAAGGGATGTAAAATGTTTCCGAAAATTTTCTTTTCTTCCGTGACTTTTATAACACTCCGGGACACGAGTTGGTTGCAGTCTTCATACACGCGTAAAAGTCATATGGGCGCAAGAAAGAACGGGGCGCGCGAGGAAGACATTCAATTTTTCTTGTGCCCAAATTACTTTTAAACGCCTGCACGCAGCTGCCTCGTACGTAAGCTCTTTTTGGAATGTTCGACGGTAGTCGCGGCGAAGGGATCATGGAAAAGCTTCGAAAACGCAAAGGCACAGAAAATCCCAAGAAGCGCCTGGGTGCGAGGCAGTGCACGCAGGCTAAGTTGCTTGAAGGAAGATTAGCGGAAATCCAGTTTTAGTTACCATGACTACTCATATGTTTCGTTCCATATTACAGAGATGCCAACCTCTGGAGACCTAAAACCGGGAGACTGTCTTTTTTTCCCTACCCCCCCCCCCCCCGAAAAAATGACCCAGCCCCTAATGGGAATGACTTAGGACATTATATGACGTCTTACATGATGAACATACCGTCAAAATGCGAAATCATCGTTTTGATGCTAGAAATAATCTTTGTCAATGACTAAATACGTGCAAAAATGCTCCAGAAACCGTACTACGAATAAGAAAAATTCAAGTTTTGAGCTCAAAATGGGCAAAATCTCAAACTAAGTCTGCTTTATTTTTTACCAAGAATTCGATATTTATAGTGGGCGTAAAAAGCGGGAGATTTATGTACCAAAGCGGGAGAGCGGGAGACGAGACAAAAAAGCGTAAGTCTCCCGCCAAAAGCGGGAGAGTTGGCATCACTGATATTAAAACCGGGTTTTGATCAACTCAGTCCTTTTCGTGGTTCTATTACCATTCTTTCAGTGAGTGGGGAATGATTATGAAAGAGCTACATGTGTACCGGGAAGTACAGGGCAGGGAGACATGATTTGACTCATGATAAACGCAATACGTGCTGTCAATGGGCTGAACTACATGGAAACAGATTTAGAGGCCTATAAATGTTGTATAAATGTGACTTAAAGCTGNTTTCTTCACATGTCCACGCAAATTATGTCGTTCAAATTTACAGAAAGCCCCACCCCCGCGACCCCAAAACCGGGAGACCTCTTTTTTTCCCACCCCCCCCCCCCCCCCGAAAAAATGACCCAGCCCCTAATGGGAATGACTTAGGACATTATATGACGTCTTACATGATGAACATACCGTCAAAATGCGAAATCATCGTTTTGATGCTAGAAATAATCTTTGTCAATGACTAAATACGTGCAAAAATGCTCCAGAAACCGTACTACGAATAAGAAAAATTCAAGTTTTGAGCTCAAAATGGGCAAAATCTCAAACTAAGTCTGCTTTATTTTTTACCAAGAATTCGATATTTATAGTGGGCGTAAAAAGCGGGAGATTTATGTACCAAAGCGGGAGAGCGGGAGACGAGACAAAAAAGCGTAAGTCTCCCGCCAAAAGCGGGAGAGTTGGCATCACTGATATTAAAACCGGGTTTTGATCAACTCAGTCCTTTTCGTGGTTCTATTACCATTCTTTCAGTGAGTGGGGAATGATTATGAAAGAGCTACATGTGTACCGGGAAGTACAGGGCAGGGAGACATGATTTGACTCATGATAAACGCAATACGTGCTGTCAATGGGCTGAACTACATGGAAACAGATTTAGAGGCCTATAAATGTTGTATAAATGTGACTTAAAGCTGGTACCAAGCGCGGACAAACTGGCTCTTGGCGCGGGAAAACGTTCGTCTTAACATGACTTCTGATTGGTTGACGATATGACGCAACATTTTCCCGCCATTTACAAATACCTTTGTTCACGTGCTCGTAAGTGCCACTTATTACTGGGAAAGAAAACAGATCGACATTTTCTCAAGTAATAAAGTACGACTAACCTCAATTTGAATCTGAACAACACCATTATTTCTTGTTTTGACGGCCAACACGAACACACCCTCATGAGCTCTAGAGGAGCTGATGCGGACAAGGAAACTGCCAGGCGATTGATCTTCAAGGAGGTTTGCAGCCTCGGTCTCGTTCATGTGGCCTGCGAACCAACTGAAAAGAAGAACGATTTGATGTCCCGAAAGGGCACCCACACAAAAAATAAGACATATATCATGAATTTACCTAAGCAGCGTTGTATTTTACGTTGTATTTTCATTTATTTTACTGAATTAAGCTTATTTATTTCAACCACTACACTTCAGATTTTACGATGTAATGAAAGCCAACGTAAGTCAGTTTTATACCTCATTCCATTTAATTTGATTACGGAATCAGCAGTCAATCGAACGAGCTTTAGGAAATTTAACCAATTTCAGAAAAAAAATGGTATGCAGAGACCGCGCAGCAAGTTTTCGAGTGGGGGGGCTAAAGAAGAATGCGTGAAGGAAAATTTTTTTGGGGGGGGGGCGGGGGGGGGCATGCTTGTGGATTTCTATTCAATTTCTCTAAAGTGATGGAGAATGCGAACAACGATAAAACTATTGATTTTTTTCCACGTCTTCAGTGATGTTGCTATCGGGTCTGAAAATTGACCATCACTAAATTGAAATATCATAGATTGTTATGTTATACTACTGATATCAACCTTTAATTACTATAAATAAGCCAGAAATCCAACGATTTTGCTTGAGCTGCCTTGAACTCAAGGCTGTATAATTACTGAGCAATTATTGCACGAGGCTGAGTATGATATGAAGAGTTATGCAGATCGAGGGGGTTATCCTCCAAAGCCGAAGGCTTGAGCCCGGTGGATAACACCCTCCGAGATCTGTATATCTTCATATCATACGAAAGCCGAGTTCAATAATTGTTAAATTATTCATTCAAAATATTTACACGGCAAAACAAAACGGTAACTGAAAATAATTTAGTGAATGAAAATTCAATTATAGAACAGATTCAGAAAAAAAAAGCAAAAATTATGCAGAGTTTACTCACCAGATAAAGAAGGTTTTCCATTTTGTTTGGAAAAGTAATCAGAAATTTTAAGAGATCTCTTCTTTGCATTACTAGTGGTATGTGAAGTCTCGTCGTTCGTATTTATGTTGCCGTGTACCATGTGCACTTCTTTGTTCGTAATAACCGCCGGATTGAATGCTCCTTGATGACCAGAGCTATACACAATTCTGCGGTTTAAGTACTTTCGATGACAAAATGTTTTTATAACTGGGGTATCGGTCAAATCGAAGCTTCAACATGCCCCCCCCGGGCAACCCCCCGGGCATTTGACTTTTTTGAAAATTATTGTTCAAATTCCCCCCTACCCGGGCCAAAATACCGTTCAAATGCCCCACACTAGGGTCCATTCAGGTGATCAAATGCCCCCACCCCGGGGACATTTCACAGGCACAAAAATGACGGAAGGAAGGCGGAAACGCTTCAGTTGTCGAACAAAATCTTTATGAATATAACAAAAACTGAGAAACACTGTTAGCGTATTTACTACGAACAAAAGTCTCGTGCAAAGCGGCGGAAATTGCTGCTACAAGGTCACTGAATGCTCAGCTTTTCTTCGTCATGCAACATACAAAGCGTTATATAAAAAAAAGATCCCACCTATTGAGATTACTACATCACGACCATTTCACTGACATGCATCATCGCTCACCTTATTAATTAACAGTAGTCAAAGTAGTTGACCTGAGCTTTTTATTTTATTTTATTTTATGTTGTTGTATTGAATCGCTGGTATAGGTATTGTATTTCATTGTAAACACAACAATAAAATACTTTCACACATTCAAAGCCTGAATCCAATTTTAAAATTTTTAAAATTTAAATACTTCAAATACGGCACAAAGCTTGTTTAAGCCCTTTCCTTGTAACCAATTGGCCACAAAGGCACAATCTTTTCCACGAAAATCCTCTAACACAGCGTCCGCCATGATAGCTCGCCACGCCAAAGATTTTACATGAAATCGAGGGTGCAGTTCAAATTCCCCACCCCCTGGAAGACTCTGATAATCAAATTCCCTCCTCCCCGGGACGGCAAAGGTGTCAAATGCCCGGGGTATGCCCGGGGGGGGGGGCATGTTGAAGCTTCGATTTGACCGATACATAAACAGACCGCGTTCAACAAAACTTGCAATTGGAATGCTCAACGAGCCGTGAAGCCTAACATCAAAAGACGGACTTCGCGCTGATCGAGCTAAAATCAGGACGCACAATAACAAGAGAAACAATAACTTCATAATCTTCCAAAAATCAAGGTTGAAACTAATAAACAATTTGTTTGAGAATCGCTTTATAAACTAAACCCAGTTATTACTTTGGATCGAAATTGACCAGTTACGAACAACGCGTTTTTTCCTGAGAGGTCCCCAGGAAAAAGAAGCCATTTAAAAGACGTTTACCTCTGCTAGGTTAGAAGCGAAATAATATTTTACAATTGTAACGACTAATGCTTCATTCTGTCTATTTATCTGCGCGTTTGTCTTTGCCAGTAACTCTGGTCACTTTCAAATTAACGATTTTTTGCTATTTTTCACTCCGTTACTTTTGTTAAATTATTTTTTGTTTAATTTATTTTTATTCTTGCAAAAAAGTGGGGGGGGCTAAAGCCCCCCCAGCCCCTCCTTCTGCGCGGTCCCTGGTATGCTGCTCTCGTTATTGCTCGCCAGCAATGATCAGTGGATATAAAAAATGAAAGACAGGAGCGGATACTTTATCTCACCTTTCTCTTGTCCCTTCACGTACTGAAGTAGAGTTCTTCATCAAGCCATGCATCTTTCACAATAACAATTGAAAAAATAGGTTATATGAAAATAACGCAAATTTTTATATTTAGTATAAGGAAATGTTAAGTACTGAATGTTTTTTCCTTTAAGATGAGAAATAAAAAAATTAGTTGAAAGCAAAGTAATGGAAATTTCAATTTTAGCTGTGAACTGTAGGACCTTCAGATTTAATAGGCCGTGCGCAGACGGTCCTTTTGGCTCGTCACGCAATAATCCTCCCCAACGAGGGGCAGGAACGCGTGACGAACCCATGGAAGGCCCGTCCCTCTGCATGACGCAACTGGGATCTGGAAACGACTTTGTATGTCGAGGGAAGCGCGGGAAATTACAAACGTTGCCGAAGGTTGCCGTCGGCCGACGTCCATTTTGTGAACTTCATACTTGAGGATTGCTACACATTGGCCCTCGTTAAAAAAAAAAACAATCGATAAGACGCCTTTTAGAATACGTTTTTCAGGCCAACGTCAAGACTAATAAAATAGTTTGCGACTCAAAAACAACAAGAGTTCAAGAGGACACTAACATATCCTTGTCAGAACTCGAGGTAACGTAAAACCTTAACCTTTTTTTAAACTCCAGGCCCAGTTGTTCGAACGCCGATTAGCGCTTAGCCCAGGGTTAAATTTAACCCGGCCTTCTTTTTCTTTGTTCAAAACGATTTTCCAGGCTTTTGAGTAAGCTAAGGGACCTTACTTAGCCGAAAACCTTTGTACACAGCTTCGAACAAAACTTAAGCTTGCAATTTTAAAGCACGCCCAGAGCGTTGTCTGTTTTGGGTGGGGGCCTTATAGGTCAGGGTTTCAATTTGTCATCAACACCCCTTTGTCTTTTTTATCTTGGGTCAGTACTTCCGTTCACTAAAAGACAGGTGAATATGGATACAGTGTTAGTCAAAACGAGTATAACTCCCAACAAAAAAAAAATATGCCGTGCAGAGTTCATGACTCTCACTCACTTTTCTAACCTCTTGACTAAAAATAAACCACCACATCGGCTTATCAGCCAATTCACAGAAGGTTGCAAGGTACATTATTATGTGTTTCTATATCAAGGTATATATTAATGGCTCACCTTCTGAAGACATCCATCAGGTCCTGGCTTGAATGGTCCAAAGAGAGCCACCAGTGTGAGAAAGTGCTCCAGTCTAACATGGCTGTCAGCAGCTTGTGCTTGAGAATACAAATTAAAACAAGATGACAAGTATGGTAAGGTGAGTATTTTAATAATATTATGTATCATCAGCTGAATGCCTATTCTCCCACGTAGCTGTCTTTTTCTTGTCACATAATGCACTTCTCCAAGAAACAGCCACTCACATTCAAACCCCATCTCTTTCCCAATACTTAATAATACTAATAATACATAATAATACATAGTTCCTTTATATTTCTCGGAAGTTACATTTTCTTGTCATACTATGAAAGTTGTTTGCAAAATAACGATAATTACCATATTCGATGTGTAACACTTTACAGAGGAATTTCTCAACATTTCCCTGCTGCATCTCTTGTTGACAACAATTTCTGGCAGCCTGTGAAAAATTTGTCCAACTCTGAAAAAAGAGAAACGTTTACTTCAGTCTATTAAACAACACTCTACGTCATAGTCAAACTTGACTGTCCCTTTTGTTTCAATATGGACTTTGCAGTAATCAGCAAGAAATGCCATTCTGAAGTAAGCAAATTTTTCCATGTAATTTATACAATACAAACTTTAATTACACTCTCTAAAGAGGGCTTTTCAGCAACAATAATATTATTAATTTACAAGATAGTATACCAAAACGATAGTAAATCTAAAAGTTACAATGATACAGTGGTTTATATAAAAAGAGAAAGAAAGCCAAAAAAACGTCACTAGAATTACAAAATAAAAAATTTTATAAAAAATGAATGGGGAAGTTTGTAAGGCTAAATTAAAACAGACCCTAAGATTATAAGCTAAGACCGACAAGAAAGAGAAGTGGCGAATAAATTGGCCCTAAGTTTAAAAATGCTTAAAATTAGTTGCAGAGTCTAAAGGAATTAAAACAGAGAGGTAACTGCCAGGGAATAATATTAATGAAATGATCATCCAAACTCAAAATTATTGCAATATTAATATTTACTACATCACAACGTTGCCCACAAATTCAATAAGAAATACATGAAGGAGGAAAATATAGAAATCTCCATTTGTATTTCAGCCTGGATCTCATTAACCCTTTGAGCCCCAAGATCCAAATACAGATTCTCCCAACCGATCTCCATACATTTCTTTTAAGAATAGTTGAGAGAATTTGGTTTAAGATCAAAGTATTCTCCCTTTGGTCATCAATTTAGTAATTCTCATAACCTTTACTCTTGTTGATCTGCTGATGTTGTTAGGAGAAAATTGATGTTGGACACTCTTAGGACCTAAAGGGTTAAATGAGATAAGCAAAAGTACCTTTCTGTCATAGTCGCCAGGAATGTTCAGCCAGAACTTTTCAGACTCATCTGACAAAAAGTTTTCACCTTAAGAGATATTAAAGAAAGTTAAGAAAAAACAAAACAATAACAAACAAAAATATTGATGAGATACTGCGAAAACAAATGAAAGAATTTTATTTTTGGGCATCTGTAAACTGTCTATAAGGCCATTAACAAAACCTGGATCAGACCAGAATGAATCAGCCCCTGTCATCTTATTAATAATTAATACCTAATGTATGAAGCTTTTGACATTTAGTGAGTTACAGGACTGGGTTTGATGCCTACTTGATCTACTAAGAACAATGACACCATAATAAGCAGGTAGGACTACTAATCCCCTCTACTAACCATCACAAGTCTTGAGGAAGTACAAAATGCTTCAAATGAGAAATATTTTTTCTGGCAATATCTTTTAAGAAATGATTATTGCATTACACATGAACTCCTAGGATTTTGATTAAGCACAAAAGAAGTCTGAAGGAGAGTAAGGTAAAGGAGAAGATATCCGCAGAGTAAAACTGCTTTTTAAGACTGGTATAGTTAGTACAGTTTATAAATAGCCCAGTTGTGAGCCCTGCACTAAGTTAGGGATGTAAAAAGTCTGATTATTAATTAAGTCCTAGGCTATATTTCGCACATCTCTCTTTGAAACATAGAGACACAATAATGAACACCTAATTATTAAAAAAAAACACCTACAAGTTTCTTCTGATTCTGATGGCCCCAGTTTCGACTTGGAAATATCACTGTCCATCTCAGAACTACAAGCAATACATCAGTAAACAGTTATGATCAACTGAGTTATCTTTAACAACAGTCAATTTCATCCAACGGAAGACATCTCTCTATAATGGACACCTACAGTGTGCACTTGCTACTATCACTCAGTCTCTTTGACTCTCTTTACAGAGGGCACCCCCGTTGCTGGGTGCAGAAAGAGTTCATTAATATATTGTGGAAAATATTCGTCATTTTCTGTCATATGAAACTTCTTGTCACTGGAGGGCTGGGTATTAGAGACAATGAAATAAAGTGGACCCCAAATTAAGCACACAAAAGAGTCAATAAGTCCCAAACCTTTCTCCCAAGAGATTCATATTTCCTGTAAAATGTATACTTCAGCAGAGACCAGTCTATTAAACAGGCAATAAATTATTGCAAGGGTCCTTTGGGTGTTGGTTCAATACAGGTTTCAGTTTATTGCAGTGCTTAAACTAGGGTAGTGCTCTCTTTTTCTAAATATGTCAAGTTTGTCAACACATCAAAGAAAAGCCCAATGAATTTGAGTTTTTAACTCTGCTGCCTTAGTCTATGTTGCTTATACCTATGTGGAAACTGGAGATCTTAGTATTCAAGGCTTGGGGTAATTCCAAAAGAAAATTGGGGTAACGATGTTGTTTCTAGAAGAAATTACCGCAAATCCTCTATTAAGCCCCATGGGGGGCTTATTTATTTCAAGCACGTTTGAGGAGGGACTTAATAGGGAGAGTGGGGTATATTTGAGAGGGGGGGGCTTATTTAATTTACCAAAATGGGGTGCCATACTACTTTTTCAAACAACTAGAAGATGGTATCAATTCTTCATAAAGAACTAGGAGACAAAATGGAAAGGCTCAAGCACATGACATAAGAGGTCTTGCAACCAAAGATCAAAACAAATCCGAACTTCTAGCTTAAGAATTAACCATACCGGATCAGGCCATCTTTTGTTAATTTGGTAGTGAAGAATAAGGAGGGAGGGGTGGGGGTCTGAATAGGGGGGCTTAATAGAAGATTTATGGTAACCCTTAATTTTTGCAACTCGTTGGCATTTATTATTTTAAGCTTTTGATATTATGTTTCTTTAACCTGTACTCTTAAGCATATAATAAGTACAAAGTCACCTAGCATTTCCAGAGTCCTGCAGTGGCCATGACAGACTACTATCCAATGAGCTGTTACTAGCAATGCTTTCTTGTGTTGGACGCCTTGGCCCTAACAGATTGGCATTCTTGCCAAAAAACTTTAATATGTGATCTATTACATCTGTTCTTTTCACATCCACAAGAATCTCTAGAAGCTCCTTTGAGGTGGTTTCAGTGCATTCTCTAAGCATTTCAACAGTTGGGTTTCGTTTTTGCTCCAAACATTGAATTATGCATGAAAGCTGGAGCCGTGAAGCAACAATCCTCCAGTCATAACCAGTCTCCTTTAGAGGGTTCAAACATTTTCCAAACTCATTTTGTACTTCCCAGGTGAAATCTTTCACTAATTCAGGAAGGTAAGGAAGCTACACAAATAGCATTAAACAAATAAATATTTCTTGTACTTATCAGGATGGTATGACCGTTTATTGACAGACTATCTCAACTCAGTCTAACTTAGTCTTATTTTAATCTAACTAGTCTAATCTAACTAGTCTAACTAAGTCTTAGTCTAACTTAGTCTAACCAGACATTGACTGCATAATAAAACTTTAACTGAATCCTTTTTAATCCCAAACAAAGCCAAATGACCCGCATAGAGCGGTTTTCACTTGACTGTCGTAAAACCAAAACCAAAGTAAATACACTAGCCAACCTAAGGGCGTAGTAAAACCAAAACCAAAACCAGTCCCTTTCGACAGTCAAGTGAAAACCGCTCTAATGACCAAATAATAAAACTCTGTTTGAATGCTTTCTAATCTGTAATGTCAAGCATACTTTGCAACATAACTGTGATATTGAATTCATGGTTTTCGGATGTTTTAAAACATGGCAGTTGAAGTACAAGCCAGTTCCAAACAAATACACTGAATGAAAATAAACATGAATGGATTCCAAGAAACTTTTTAGAATTAGACCACAAACCTTATTAACCTTCAGCTATAATGATGAACAAACTAAATCTGACCCATATTGTACTGTTAATCAACACTCACCAATAAATCAACCTTTGATGCACAGCCATCAGATGAAGCAGATGATCCGTTGCCCCATCTGACATACAAGTTGAAAAAATTAAAGTAAAACTCAAGAACTCAAAGAGAAAACAAGGAGTTAAACCAGTTTGACCCATTTTTTAACCTTATTCATAAATCATTATAACTATTTACACTTAATGCTGTGCCCAAAACTGTCATAAGAGTCATAACCCATCACACCTGCCACGGTTGAGCTCACTTGATGTTACAGGTCATCAAAGTGGCAAGCTTAAGGTGACACAGTGACTATAAATTTATCCTATGTCTGTTTTCATCAAACAAGTGTGAAAGATTCCTTGAGTAGCCAAATCATCATTGATTGCCGTACGGCAATTTTTGCCGGTCCCCAGAACTTGCAGAGAACCATGGAAAAATTTCCAGAAATACAACGAAAAATCCGTGATAAATTTTTTTTACCTTGTTGATCTGTCATCTTCCATTCTGAAGTTACCACAATACACCTGAACACTACTCTGAAACTGTGCTTGGGCTTCAAACCCTGACCCTGTTGAGGACAGTTTAACTGTTTAAGTCCCAAGAGTGACTAACATCAATTTTCTCTTGACAATATCAGTATATGATCAAGTAGAAAGGTAATGAGAATTAACAAAATGATCACTTAAGGAAATGTGAGTTGATCTTTTAACAAAATCTCTTAAGCAGTCTTTCAAGAAATGTGTGGAGGCCAGTGTAAATATTATTATTTTGTATGTTGATCTTGGGGCTTAAAGGGGTAAATCTTTCATTTTGCTGTCCTGTTTAAGACAAGAGACCTTATCTCATGACCCTGAATCATTTGTTTTGAATATATAATTACGGTAAGTAATTTTTAAACTGACATCGTGGAATTATTTTTTTTTTGGAAAAATTGTTGGTACCACATAAACAGACTGCTCATGACCAATCTTTACACTTGTCTGTTCCAAAAAGATACCCTGTTCAAGGAGCTAAACAGTGAAAATGTATACAACTTTTATAATGCCCTAAAAACCATACCCTGTTCAACGGCACATACCCATATACAGTGTTCCAGCCAGAGTGCGCCATTGCGTGAATCCCGCAAAAGATCGAGGAATGGCCCCCACCAAAAGCGTTCAAGGGCGATTTATGGCCCTTTCCTTTTTTAATTGCCTGGGCTTAAAATGGTCTATGTTACTTCAACTACAATAATTTTCCAGTTACACAGAATTTTTAATCTAAAGAACAACGATTCCGTACCTTTGTACACAACATCAAAATCAATCGCTTTTCTTGATTTTATCTGATTTATCGTTAGTGGTCTGGAGACCACTGAGCCTCAACTTGGCTTTTGTAATATCACAGAAGCTCATGGGTATCCATCATGGCATCTCGAAAAAGGATAAACCTGACAAACGCATCTTCGAGGTCTATCAAAAAGTTTTTTCTCAGTAAGTAATGAAAAAGTGGATGTTCAGAATAAGCGAATGGAAGCAGATCTTGACGGTGAGGTGGAAAATGAGATGAAAAAAATTACTTACTATTTTCATTGCATACACTCTGATTGTACTGTTTGCTTTATTACCGAAGATTTCCTGGATTGTGTATAAAAAGGGACGCTCCATGTCAGCTTCAAATAAACCGCCATTTTTATTTCCTTAACTTTCCAACTGTTTCTTCTTTTTTGCATATGAGAGAGATACTGGTACATTGGCCCTTTCTTGAAATATCTGGCCCCCAAAAATGGGTTGTAGGAGGCCCCTTTAGCCCTCAAGCAGAATTTTCTGGCTGGAATACTGCATATACACCAAAAAAGGAAGTGCCCCCCCCCCACCCCCAGTGTGGGGACATGGTAAATTAATGGCCGTCATTCTCGATTTTTATCTTCATGACAAAATTAGGGGTTCACCGGAATGACTCATTCTAGAATAAGGCCATTCAATTTCCATTTATTTCCAGGTATTTGTTTACATGATAACAGAACAACATTTCGTTCCTGTTTAAGTCATTCCAAGTTTCATTGCAAATGAAATCCTCATTCTGGTACAAAATTTTATAATTTCTGATATGGTGCATTAAGGTGCATTATGGGAAATGTGGAAGTGGCGTATTTCGCGCCATCTTTAAGTGTTTATGAAGAATAAGATCTGCATGCGTGAGGTAACTTTGTTGTCACCACAAAGTATCCCCAAAGGACTTCGTTGTCTTCATTGTTCGTTTTACAATACAAGTAACAATTCGCTATAGTCAAAAGGTTGGAATTACGTTCACCAAAACAACATCATTTCTCTCTGCGCATTTCTTTTATGAACAGTTGCAATCGTATAGTAAAACCCTCGTGATAAGATCCTGAGTCCAGAAGGTCAACGATCGCGCGTTTCATTTCACAGTTCTAACAATAACTATTGCTACATAATATTAAAATGCACAATTTCACTCACCAAACGTAGCTATCTTATAAACAGTCTAACGTACAGAATACATGCATCAGTCTTCCGCTCTTCTTCCTCCTTTTCACACGTCATATCTTACATCCAGTTTGATTGGTCAAGTCCCTTGGCCTAATATGGAGACAACTGCACTTCGAAAACCAATGAAAAACGCTGTACTATTCAACGGCATTTTCCGGGAATCCCCTTACAGACTTCGGCCATCTTGGTTTACGACTTCAGAGCTGAGTACCTGCAACTGGCAACGAAGTACCAGTTATAAACAGGGGTCTTTTTTGCATGAGCATGCGCGACCGCTGAACAAGCGATGTGCATGGAGGCTCACCACAGGGTTTGCCTTCATCAAAATGGCGCGTCTCAAAGCTATCATACCGATTATTTTGCTCGTTGGTCTTGGCGAATGTGCTCGTGATTTAACAAAATGTGTAGTTTGCAAAAAAAACTCTAACATGGTCTTAACAAAAGCGAAGTAGACCGGCTTTAACATACACGAGCTACTATCAAATTTCATCTCCCCATTTGACCTGGACAACAGCGCGCGAATATGTAGTGCCTGGAGGATTGCGCTGGCCTCATCAAAGTCTAAACAAAGTGCAGCAATGTTTGTTGATGCAAGTAAAAACTTTGAGTTTTCTTTGTTTTGAAATCGGAAAGGAAGAGAAATATTAAAAACAAAAACAAAAAAATTCAGCGAGTGGGTTCGAAGTGCGCGAAAACCGATGTTCAGTTCAGCAGTGAATTAATATATGTTCTACAATTTTCCCAGCACTTTAAAGCTACAAAATTAAGAGCACACGAGACGTAGATTAGTCACCTGGTGAGATGTTGGTGGTAGTCACTCTGTATGTCTCGAACAATAAAAAAAATGAATATCAATGAGACACAGTCAAAACTGCATTCAATAGGACCGAAATTAAAGTCCAATATTGTGACCGATTTTGATGAAACAAACGGTTAGGTTTCCAAAGAGGTACAGTAAACATGTGATGCCGACCAAAAGTTAAAAATCATTAGAACATTTAAGTTCTGGCTAAAAGCAAATTTCTGTAAAAGATGCGTTACAATGTTAGTCCACGCAAGAACAAGAAGTTCTACAATTTTCCTATAAACAAACTTTGTATCGCTAAAATACCTAAGGCAAAAACTTTCTATTTCAACTGAAAACGGCGTGGTAGTCGCCCGCTGATCGTTATTAATCCACTCCCGAAATATGGCTAAATCAGCTATTAACAAATAATTGACAGAATTCCTCTACGGCATCGAGAAACTGATTTACATCCGATTTATAGACAAACACTAAATAAAGAACATTTTGCTCAGTAGCTACGCATCAGCAATGCATTCTATGCCAAACTTTGCGGTTCTTAAAGGGGAATCAAGACACGAGTCGAGCGCCAAACAACAACAAGCAGCCATGTTCGTGTCAGACATCCTTGAGTAACTTGCTCTTTCACCTCGTTCAGCGCATCAGTCTCCACTTTAAATCAACAGATCTTTACTTATTTTGTACAACGAAGGTCTTTCCTAAGTTCCTGCTACCATTTCAATCTCTAGCAAGCTTTCAAAGTGAACAATTTGGTTCCTATGACTATGCAGCACTGTCGCTGTCACTGGTCGCGTGCTCTTTGACAAGTCAGCGGTCGCGCATGCTCATGCAAAAAAGACCCCTGTTCCAGTTATATGCAGTAGACGAAATTGTCGCGTTCCACAGGGATCGATGTTAAACAATCATGACTCATTTGGCTGATAAATTTGCAAGTTTATCGTTAAAGGAAATAAACAAAATCCAGGAACAAGTCTGTTCTGCAATCAGCGCTCTTCACAGTGGAAAAGACCTGTTATCAATAAAGAAGAATGTTCAATACATCTTGGAGCAAGTCAACAAGAACCTAGATTTGATCAAGGCCTCATGCAAGGAAGAAGGTACTAATCGACACTTGGCGGGAAACGGATTTTATACACTGTCTCCTGGTTGGATCATGCCCGAGGCGGGGGGGGGGGTACTCCTGGGAATTCTTGGCGAGGGTGCAGTGATGCCAACTCTCCTGCTTTTGGCGAGAGACTTACGCTTTTTTGCCTCGTCTCCCGCTCTCTCGCTTTTTACGTCCACTGTAAATATTGAATACTTAGTAAAAAATAAAACAGACTTAATTTGAGATTTAGCCCATTTTTAGCTCAAAACCTTAATTTTTCTTATTCGCAGTACGGTTTCTGGGGCATTTTGCTCGTATTTAGTCATTGACAAAGATTATACGATGATTTCGAATTTTGATCGCACGGTACATCATGTAAGACGTCATATAATGTCCTAAGTCATTCCGATTGGGGGCTGGGTCAATTTTTCGGGGAGGGGGGGGGTCGTTGAAATTCCGGGGGGTAGTGAAAAAAAGACAGTCTCCCGATTTTAGGTCTCCAGAGGTTGGCATCTCTGAGGGTGTGCCGCCCGGTTCTCCAAATCCTGACACTATTTCAGGCAAAAAAATGCCACTTTTCACACCCTTATTTAGACCTGGTCTTTAAGAAATTATGTCATTATTACTTAAATTAGAACAACAACAAAAATCCATTTTGAATTTGCATATTTCTCTTTCTTTGTTACTCATTTGGAATTGAAACGATAAATGCATTCATGCACTCCTGTAGTTCCTTCGAAAACCATACCCGATTCCAGACCAAAATAGGCAAAGTGTATACCCGTTTTCAGACCAAAATGGCACAAAAATCCTAACATAAGGGAGTACCCCTCGTGGGATCATGGAAGTTTCTCCCACCATTTTTATACAATGGTCCCTTGGGCAGGGTTGGGGGGGGAGTGTAAGCCCAGGGTCAGCCCATCAGGTTTAAGTGGCTTTAAATTACACGTAAATCATACATTCATATCACAACAATCTGTAGTGTTTCATTCATTTATTAGTCATTATTTTGCTGCAATATATCATGTTCTAAAAAGGTATCCAGAGATTGAACTTGTGATAGCCAGGTAAATTCCTTATCCTTTCCAGAGGAGAGGGGATGAGGGCTTTGTCTTTGTCGAAATTTTAAAAAGGGGGATAGGGATGCATTGTAAAGAAACTATTACAGTTCTGCAATTTCTCAGTTAACTTTTCGTGTATTGAATACCTATACATCGCCATTCACAATTAAGTGATCCACATTCAACATTTTAAGACTAACTGACCTGACAAATCGTGAAGGCAAGGTGGTCTACTCTGTAAGAGCGGTTGGAAGGTCGGTGCATAGGTTACCTGGTCCCTGGTCTCTCCACCATCGTCACCGTCATGTTCCTGACATTAAAAAAGAAACTTAAGGTGACTCTGTCATTAATACTGGACCATTTGGCTGTGACAAATTTTCCATCATAACTTTTTTGGTTTTAACACGATGGCTAAAAAACCATTGCAAAGAACAAGAGGAGTTATTCGGTAATACAATATGAAATATTCCGATTTCATTGATGCTAAATATTTCTTGAGAAATTAGCGCTTAAAAGGACCCTACTGTTCAAAGAAAATCGCGTCTAGTAAAAAACTATGCTGATATTTTTACTGAATTTTGTGCTATCGGTTTTTATTGATATAATAAATATGCCAGCGAGATTTCAGAAAAATCTTTGGAGCAGAAGTCTGTAACTAAAAGTCACTCAAAATTCAGCTGTGAAATTGTTTTGGAATTTCAAACGTTAATTACTATCACGTAGAAGGAGCCACCAGTTCAAATTTTTGGGACAAGTAAATTCAATGTTTGCTAATTCAGAAAACAAAAACCAATTGCCTATTGTGCTATTCTTTAAATGGTACTTTTTAGTTTAAGAAGCAGTATAAATTGCTCCAAACCTTGTTCTGACGTCAAATGCTTTGTTCCTCAACATTTTTAAAGTATCCCTTAGCAGTTTTGACTCAAACTCCAGCTACATACATTTTGATGTATCGCAATGCATCCTCGATGGCTTTTCCTGCTGTACATTGCTTCCAATTCATGAAAAAGACATCTGATGTTTGTTCTCTGATGTCTAATGTCAGACGTCTCATATGAGACGTCTGCTGTCATATAATTTTTTTATCAGACGTCTTATTTTATATGTTATGTTATATAACTGTTATCAGACGTCTGATGTCTAACATTAGACGTCTGATACCAGTTATATGACAGCACATGTCTGGTGTCAAACTTCTGACATCAGACATCTGATAACAGTTACATGACAGCAGATGTCTGATGTCTGATATCAGACGTCTGCTGTCATACAGTTGTTATCAGACGTCTGATGTCTAACATCAGATGTCTGATAACAGTTATATGATGTCAGACCCCTGATAACAGTTATATGACAGCAGACGTCTGATGTCAGATGTCTGCTCTCATATAACTGTTATCAGACGTCTGATGTTATATGTTATGTTATAAAACTGTTATCAGACGTCTTATGTCTAATATCAGACGTCTGATAACAGTTATATAATGTCAGACGTCTAAAGTCAAACATCTGATATGAGACGTCTGCTGTCACGTAATTGTTTTTAGATGTCTGAAGTCATTTGTCTTTTATTAGACGTCTGATATCAAACGCCTGATATCAGACAAATAACATCAGACGCCTGATGACAGATGTTTGACATCAGACGTCTGCTGTCATATAACTGTTATCAGACGTCTGATGTCTGATTTTATATATTATGTTATATAACTGTCATCAGACATCTGATGCCTAATATCAGACGTCTGATAACAGTTATATGATGTCAGATGTCTGATAACAGTTATATGACAACAGACATCTGATGTCAGACGTTTGCTGTCTTATAACAGCTGTTATCAGACGTCTGATGTTATATGTTATGTTATAACTGTTATCAGATGTCTGATGTCTAATATCAGGCATCTGATAACAGTTATATCATGTCAGACGTCTGATAACAGTTATATGAAAGCAAAAGTCTGCTGTCATATATTTGTTATCACAAGTCTGATGTCTGATTTTATGTTATTTTATATAATTGTCATCAGACGTCTGATGTCTAATATCAGATGTCTGATAACAGTTATACAATGTCAGACATTTGAGAACAGTTATATAACAGCAGACATCAGCTGTCATATAACTGTTACCAAACATCTGATGTTATAGGTTATGTTATATAACTGTTATCAGACGTCTAATGTCTAATATCAGACGTCTTATAACAGTTATATGATGTCAGACATCTGATATGAGACGTCTGCTGTCATTTATCTCATATCAGACATCTGATGTCAGACAACTGATATGAAACCAGACATCTGATAACAGTTACATGACAGCAGATATCTTAAGTCAGATGTCTGATATCACACGTTTGCTGTCATATAACTGTTACCAGACGTCTGATGTCTGATTTTATGTTATGTTATATAACTGTTATCAGACGTCTGATGTCTAATATCAGACGCGTGATAACAGTTATATGATGTCAGACGTCTGATAACAGTTATATGTCAGGAGACGTCTGATATCAGACAAATAACATGAGACGTCTGATAACAGTTATATGACAGCACAAGTCTGATGTCAAACGTCTGACAAGAGTTATATGACAGCACACGTCTGATGTCAAACCTTCTGACATCAGATGTGTGATGTCTGATATCAGATGTCTGATATGACATCAGACATCTGATAACAGTTACATGACAGCAGACGTCTGATATCAGATGTCTGCTGTCATATAACTGGTATCAGACGTCTGCTGTCTGATTTTCTATGTTATGTTATATAACTGTCATCAGACGTCTGATGTCTAATATCAGACGTCTGGTAACAGTTATATGACAGCAGATGTCTGATAACAGTTATATGACAGCAGACGTCTTATATGAAATCAGACATCTGATAACAGTTACATGACAGCAGATGTCTTATGTCAAATGTCTGATATCACATAGACTGCGAGCCAAGCTTAGACTTGACTGACTGAAGAGGGACTTCTCGCAGTCTAGATATCACACGTCTGCTGTCATATAACTGTTATCACACATCTGATGTCTTATTTTATATATTATGTTATATAACTGTTATCAGACATCTGATGTCTAACATTAAACGTCTGATACCAGTTATATGATGTCAGACGTCTGATAACAGTTATATGTCAGCAGATGTCTGATATCAGATAAATAACATCAGACGTCTGATAACAGTTATATGACAGCACACGTCTGATGTCAGATGTCTGCTGTCATATAACTGTTATCAGACATCTGATGTTAGATATTATCTTATATAACTGTTATCAGACGTCTGATGTCTAATATCTGATGTCTGATAACAGTTATATAATGTGAGACGTCTAAAGTCAGACATCTCATATCAGACGTCTGCCATCATATAATTGTTATCAGACATCTGATGTCATTTGTCTTTTATCAGACGTCTGATTTCGGACAAATAACATCAGACGTCTGATGTCAGACGTTTGACATCAGACATCTGCTGTCTTATTTTATATGTTATGTTATATAACTGTCATCAGACGTCTGATGTCTGATATCAGACATCTGATAACAGTTATATGATAGCAGACGTCTGCTGTCATACAACTGTTATCAGACGTCTGATGTCATAGGTCTGATACCAGACGTCTGATGTGTAATGTCAGACGTCTGATGTTTGTCGCCTGATGTCAGACCTCTGACATCAGACGTCTCATGTCTGATACCAGACGTCTGATGTGTAATGTCAGACATCTTATATTTGTTGCCTGACATCAGAGGTCTGATGTCATATGTGTAATATCAAATGTCTAATGTCATATGTCTAATACCAGACGTCTGATGTGTAACCTCAGACGTCTGATGTCATATGTCTGATATGAGACGTCTAATGTCATATGTCTGATACCAGACGTCTGATGGGTAATGTTAGACATCTGATGTTTGTTGCCTGATGTCAGACGTCTGACATCAGACATCTCATGTCATATGTCTGATATCAGACGTCTGATTTGTAATGTCAGGCATCTGATGTCATATGTCTAATATCAGACATCTGATGATTAATGTCAGACGTCTGATGCTTGTTGCCTGATGTCAGACGTCTGACATCAGATGTCTGATGTCATATTTCTGACATCAGACGTCTGATGTCATCTGTCTGATATGAGACGTCTTTTAACAGTTATATGATGTCAGACGTCGAAAGTCAGACGTCTTATGAGACGTCTGCTGTCATATAATTTTTATCAGTCGTATGATGTTATTTGTCTTATATAATAGACGTCTGATATGAAATCAAACATCTAATAACAGTTACATGACAGCAGACGTCTGATGTCACATGTCTTGTATCATGCATCTGATGTGTAATGTCAGACGTCTGCTGTCATATGCCTGATACCAGACGTCTGATGTGTAATGTCAGTCATCTGATGTTTGTTGCCTGATGTCAGACGTCTAATGTCATATATCTGATACCAGATGTCTGATGTGTAATGTCAGACGTGTGATGTTTGTTGTGTGATGTCAGACGTCTAATGTCAAAATTATGTCTGATACCAGACATCTGATGTGTAATGTCAGACATCTGACATCAGACGTCTGATGTGTAATGTCAGAAGTCTGATGTTTTTTGCCCAATGTCAGAGGTCTGATGTTTGTTGATTGATGTCAGATGTCTGATGTCATATGTCTGATATCACATGTCTGATGTTTGATGTCATATGTCTGATATCAGACGGCTGATGTCTAATGTCAGGCATCTGATCTTTCTGCCTGATGTCAGATGTCTGATATCAGATGTCCGATGTCATATGTCTGATATCAGACGTTTGATGTCTGATGCCACGTCTGATGTCAGACGTTTGATGTCTGATGACAGACGTCTTATGTCATATGTCTGATGTCTAATGTTTGTCTGATGTCATCAGATGTCTGATGATAGACATCTGATGTCATATGTCTGATATCAGACATCTGATGGCAGACGTCTGATACCAGATGTACAATGTCAGATGACTAATGTTGTTTTGAAGTCAGACGTCTGGTGTCAGATATCTGATGTCAGACATCGGATGTCATTTTTATACAAGAGTTTTGAGCGGCGCAAAAATTGAAATTTCTAGAGTAGGGGATTTTATACCAACCCTTAGGGATTTTTTCTAATTTTGATTATATCCTCTATCAACCTTTTCTGCCACTCGCACTTCCGAGTTTCACTCCTATAGGACTTGAAAATGGAGGAAGGGTACTCTCTTATATAAACTATATAGGTATGCCTGTTCCCACCTGTTTAGGACTTGAATCTGGGATGTCCGGTATCCTATAACCACTCAATCATGTTGATCAAATATTGCAGCATCATCATGGTTGAGGATTACAGGGAGAGTGAGTCAGAAAGAATTAGCATCATGGGAGCGACTTGGAGAGGGAAGGTTCTCAAGTGTTTACAAAGCAAAACTCAAAGGCAATGATGTAGCTGTCAAGGTTCTGAAAAATCTCAAGGAAACCAAGCCACTGCTTACAGAGGGAAATCTCCTAAGGTATTTCTACTCATGATTCTCAGAAGTTACTCAATTTCTCAGCTACAGAAGATGGAAAATATTGTTTTGGTTTTGCGATCAGGCATTTGTGGATTTTATCACATGGGGAAGATTAAATTAACCTGTTATCAAGTATTTCAGGGTATTGAAATTCTGTTAATTATTAATATTGTGGTATCTGTAGTGCACTACTCTACATAGAGCAGGCTAGAAGTGTTGGAAAATACCATAATACTAACAGAAAAAGATTAGAAATACACCCTAAGTTGAAAGATGTGTAGTTGTCAGCATAGTGCTGAAATTATGAGTCATTAATTTTTCATCTGAAAGTACCCCTGAACATCAGCATGATAATTATGCATTTTTTACATAATAATTATTGCCCCAGTTTAGTATAAAGCTTCATGTTTTCTAACTAATTAACCTAATTAGTATTTTTCTTTGTATTTCAACAGGGATCTTCGTCATGACAACATTGTTGCTTTTAGAGGAATGAATATTTTGGAAAGTGATATTGTAAATGAGAAATTTACTCTAAAAGCAGGCACTCCTTTCCTAGTAATGGAATACATCCCTAAGAATCTGTACAGATTTGTGGAAGATCACAAAACTCCTGAATCTCAGGGACTTCCCAGAAGTCAGGTGTGGACTATTGGCAGAGGAATGGCTAATGGTTTGATGTACCTGCATGGTTTGAATCCACCCATAAGCCACAGAGACTTGAAGCCTGATAATATTCTGGTAAGTCTTTCTCTTTTTAAGACTTTGTTGTTATTTCTCTTTTTGAGTAAAGACTGTGTGATTTGTCCATTAGATCCACTGAATTCTGAGATTTTCTGTGGGTATTTCTGATTGCTATTGATGAGACAATGCTCTTAGAGATGAAAGTGGCAAACGCTTCCCGGGGGGCACTCCCCTATAAAAGTGATGGGAGCCCCCCTTCCCGGGGAACGCTTTACCATTCTGATCAAGTTTGACAATGTAAGTTTTGCAATGATGGCAAAAGAATGTGCCAAAAAGTGCGCACCACATTTATTAAGTACGGGGTATCCAACAATGAATGAATCCTTTTTTCAAATTTTCTTGAATGAATGAATGCCTCCATGGTGTGATTTGTGTATGCTAGAGAAGGAAATGAATCCAGGGATGTGGTATATTATTTTTATAAGCCATGTGGTTAAATGAGTTATAATTTGAGTTTTGTTCATTTGATTGCATTATTAGCTGGATGTCAGGAGTTTGAGGGTTAAATTGGCAGACTTTGGTTTGTCACGGACAGTAGAAAGAACTGGAAATGATCTTTTATTCCATGCACGCTGGACTGCTCCTGAGGTTTGGGAAGATTACAGGTACTTTGGTGAAGAACCTATCGAAGGTAAAGGTCCATGAAAACACAGATTGTCAATGAACTTATTTACATTTCATTAAAATTATATAAAGGTGTTCCTGAATTTTTTGGTTTTGTAGAATTACTGATGATATCAAAAACAGACCACAATTTTTGGGCAACACTGTTTATTGACTAGTAAATCAGACTTGAGATCAATAAATGAAACTACTGGGGGTGGAGTGGATGGGAAAATGTTGACAAGCTCCAAACTGGCTGAAAGGGCCTAAGTGATCTGGAAGACGATTTGCTGAGGTAGCTACTATACGGACAGCTAAGGAGCGTGTTCTCATTTGGTAATTACCCTTCATCACCTTGGGTGATTTTGGTTCTCTGAATTGTAATAATAGTGCACCAATCACTACAACAATCAGTCAATAAAAATATTTCTATTTAAAATACTTTCAGCTGAGAATGACTATGTTGGAGTTGGATTTAATATTTTATTCTAAATTACTACTTCACCTCCAGAAAATGAGGCTCTTGAATTTTTCCTGCGTGCTGACATCTACTCTTATGGACAAGTGGTAGCTTACACTTTAACAGGAAAGATGCCATGGCATGGCCAGAACACCGTGAGTGTAGCAGGAATTCAAAATAATATGATTCAGTCTCTTGATCAGGTTGAGATTCCTGAGGAACTGAGTGGAAAACTGAGGAGTGTTATTCATGACTGTCGCCTGGAAGACCCACAAGAACGTCCTACAGCTGATAGATTAGTTCAAGATTACTTTGAAGGTAAGGCCATCATTTTATTAATTTTTATTATATCTACCAATGAAATACCAGGTGAGCTTTCACGCGAAAACTTGATATCTTCACTGTGAAAATAACATAAATAACATAAATAACATGTTAACTTCACACGTTAAAATATCACTGTTGCTATGGCTACATAATAAATTGCGCTTTTCACACCAAAAAACTATTAAAGTGAAATGGTTTGGTATTTCATTGGTGTTTATATAATAAACAGAACATTACATGGCCGCTTGGAGATACGAAATTTCTCTTCTCGTGTTGAAAAAATATTTCACTTATTTGCTGCACTCACTCATGAAATATTTTTCAACACTCAAAGAGAAATTTCATATCTTTGCACGACGATGTAATATCCTCAATATATTTAACTGTGATCCTTAAAAGTCGTTTTGCCAGCGTCCTGTTTGCTAATATCTTAAGTTGTTTTGCTAACGTGTTAATTCATTTTCCCAACTTTTATCACCTGATTAATGGCTTAAACAAGAGGTATACAAATGTGTATCGACTTTTTTTGTAATGGCGGCAACAATGAGGTATATACTCAGGGTTTTAATTAAGAATTCTAGTAATAGTCATAGGCTATGGATTTTTAGCTGGAGATTTCTGTGTAGTCAATGGAGAATTCTCCGATCTCTGAAGCCTAATGAACACCCTATACACTTGCATAGCACTCTTTTGGTTTCATAAGCCTAGAACACCAGTGAAAGGGTTGCTAGCAAAATGACACGTAAGCCAAACAACCGGACACCACTTTTTTTCATCAACCCAATTGATTGAAAAAGAACCTGAGAAAAGTCGGGCCTGTCCAGGATCCTTGCCATGACCAAGCAAAGCATTTTTACGGCGTTGCTAAAACGAGGGTGAGGGTGAGGGTAAGGGTGTGTTTAAGGGTAAGGGTGAGGGTTTGTTTAAGGAGAGGGTGAAAGCGTATGGAAACATAACTGTAGCGGTGATCATGCAGCTATCATTCATCCGTTACTCTTGCTGGTTTTGATGTGAAGTAGATGAAATAATTCATTTTTGAACCGCGGTTGTAGATGAGAGTGAAGAATGATCATCGCAGTAAATTTTCCAGTTTAAGCAATTGGAAAGAAGAAGCCTAGAAAAAAAATCAGGGCTTCAACGGGATTCGAACCCGTGGCCTCCGCGTTACCGGTGCGTTGCTCTACCAACTGAGCAATGAAGCCACACATAAATTGACCTCGCTCCCAATGTGTGGCTTCATAGCTCAGTTGGTAGAGCAATGCACCGGTAACGCGGAGGTCACGGGTTCGAATCCTGTTGAAGCCCTGATTTTTTTCAGGCTTCTTCTTTCCAATTGCTTAAATTGGAAAATTTACTGCGATGATCATTCTTCACTCTCATCTTACTGGTTTTGTTAAGCACAAAGAAGAAATTTTCTCACAGAAATTGCGTTCTTTTGCGGACAAACGCTGTAGAAAAAAAATCTGTCCAAGAGTCGAGGACGCGGAAATCAATGACTGCAAATTTTTCTACTTATCTCCCTCCCCTGGTCTGACCTCAGAGTTCTCATATTTCTCTACTCATGGAAACCAATTAGAGAGTAAACCTATCGTATGGTAATCACGTGAAATTTTGTGTCGACGTGAATTTACTTCCAGCATTTGCCCTCTTTGGCTGGTCTAATTTCAAGGTTTGGCTAGCGTTCGCGTTTTTCTGTTGCAGTTAAGTATTTCCAACAACGTGACCACAAATTAGTTTTTTGCCCTTGAAAGGCTTGAAGAAAGGCATGGATCAATAGTCTTCGATCGTTCTCTGTACACTAAGGGACTGTTTATATGGGGATGTGGGACCCTGGGTTGGCGAGGTGATCCGCCAAAGGGTTAAAAAGCAAACCACCAGACCTTTTCATTCAATCTCAGAACGTCCACAGTCCCTCATTCTGAGTTGATAGTTCTTGTGTGGTCGCTTTTCTCCTTCTTGAATACCAAGTATTATACTAAACCAAACCTACATTAGTTTAACTGATGTACTAACTTGTTTATTAACGTTGATATTGTTCGCAATATCAATTCATACCCCAAAGATATCCCGACAATCTTTCAGATATGTTGCATTTGGAGACGAGCAAAATGTACATCTAACACTTTCCCTTAAAAAAGGCAAATGTATGGTCTTCAAACCGTGCCAAGTCCAAGATGTATGAATTGTAAAATTCAAAGAAATGTTGGTAATCAACATCATGATTGTTTGAGTAAAGGAGACAAACTTTTTTTGGAGTAATTTTGGATGAAAATTGTGGAATTCCCACAACTCAGACTTCTCGCAATTGAAATTTTGCCATTCGATTAGTTATAGTTTCCTTGTTTTTTCTTATAATAGCAATCCCTCACCCTTACCCTTAGTCTCACCCTTACCCTCACCCCCACTCTCACCCTTGGTGTTACCTTTACCCTCGTTTTAGCAACGCCGGCATTTTTAACCCAGAGATAGAGCAGCTGATCAGGTTGTATTGTGTGTTGGTTATAAATTCCCTGGAAAAATTGTGAACTTTCAAGATTAATTTTTTTTTCAGGATCTCTTTCAGCTTCTTAGGTTCAACATTAATAGTGAGAATCACATCTACAGTCATCTGTTTAATACCCTATTCAAATTATGTGATTTACTTAATTTACTACCATATTTAGCATCATTTTGATTAATTGTTAAAATAATCTAGTGTTTCATTACACCCATAAAATGTCATTTTATGTTTGTCGTAGATGAAATGAATCCTTATCAAGCTGAAGCTAAAAGTGCTGAATTCTTCTCATGTGGCTTCCTTCAGCACACTTCTATTTTTGTTGCAGAGAGCTTGGTTGATGAGGTAAAGATTGGGCTTAATTCTGAGGCACAGTCAAGTGACACAAATTCTCCTACCAAACTTATCCTGCATTACGTAACAGGGCTACCCCCTGGGTAAAAGGGTCATTTATTAAAGTGAAGGTACCCAAATACTGAAATAGCGGTTTATAAATGAATGGTCACGCCCAAGGATTTTGTCTAGTGACTCAAAAAGTTAGAACCACTTTTTACCACATCAAAAAGAGCACTAAAAAAGTGCTGCTTTCCTTGTTATGGTCACACTTTAGGATTTCTTTGACAGTCTTAAAAGAACCACCCTGTGCAGCATAAACAATACGACAGGAAATTGCTGCTCAGTAGCTTTCATTTGGATGGTCACACTTAAGGATTTTATCCACAAACTGAAAAGGTACAAGTACCTTAATACATGACTCAATAATTGACCCAGGAAGTGGAATGGTAACTGTATCAATTTAATTAATTTGTTGCAATTTTGCCCTGAGTCTAGTTTGCTTCTTTTCAATCAATTAGTCCAGTGAAGGATTCTTCAAGACTGGAGTGCGTCCCCGGGGATTTCCTGCTCAGTGTCTCTTGTGCAAAGTGGAAGTGGGAAATGAAGAATATAACGACGTTCCCAAAGAATGGACATACGAGCAAAAATACCGGAAGTATTATGTTGAATTTAGAGAGGTATAGAATTTATACAGACGCTACATACCAGGTCAGCCTATGTGGCTGTAGCATGTATCTTAGACGTTTTAACGGGATGTGGGAAAGGAACAAACTGGCACGAACGAGAATGCAAGCGGCACGCGAGGAAAAGGTTCTCCTACTTTCTCCCTCGTGTGCGTCCGATTTTTCCTTCCCCTCTCTCAAACCCCCGTGGAACAGGGATGTGAGCAGTGCGCTCGAGAAAGCCACCCTGTCCACAAGGTTTTTCACAAAAAAGCCTTTTCTAAGGGAAAAGCCTTGGTAGCCTGCGTAACAGGCGCTTAGAGGTAATGGGCGTAAGAAAGACTCGGGGCGCGCGAGGAAGACACATTTGGGGGAAATTGAAGACAGATCTGCAGTAAGGTAAGAAAACAAAACTCTGTCCGAAGCTTTCCCAGCCACAGCAGAATAGCGACACCTTAATTTCCAAATAGAGTTGTTCTTTTAAATGTATCTGGTTCGTTGAAAATTTTTCACTTTCGGCTCGAAAGTGGGGAAAGGGGCTTAAGTCTAAAATTGAAGGTAAATTTGAAGATTATCTCCTCCACAAAAGCGAAAAACTAGTAATAAGTTTTATTTTTTAAGCCGTTTTCTAATGACCAGTTGTTGTTTTTTTTCAGTCTTTAAACAGTTTTCTGCCTTCCAAATTAAATTCAATAGTCTGCTCGCAGGCTCTTTCAATCACACACCTCCTAAAGCTAAGACAGCTTGCCTGCAAGGTGAAACTAGAATAAACCATTGAGATCGACTATGGCATCCTCGGAGACCCAGGGGCGGTTAGTCGGGTCGATAAAATGTTTGTGGTGAAAGTTTACTGTAAGATCGATCTTACAGTAAGCTTTCACCATGAACATTTTATCGACCCGACTAACCGCCCCTGGGTCTCCGAGGATGAGACTATGGCATCGTAAGGCCATTGACTCTTTTTTTTTTCGGCATGTCTAGAAGGCCATCGATAAGACGATAGGGCACCTTTACTCCATTGCGCTTAAATCTTTGATCACTTCCCGAGAGGAAGAGCAGGAGCAACAGGAAATCCAGCTTTCATTTGGCCAGACAACATACTGTCATCACAGGGCCGTAAGAGAGATCTGGAGGAAACTTGAGGAGTCTAAAAAGAGAGAGCTTGTCGTGTGTAAGAATACAGTACATCCTGTTTTCAGCACCTCATTTGGGCTCCATGTGGCAGTGCTTACGGCGGACAATCCGCAGAAATTTATATTTACAAGAAGATCTAATCAAGGTAAGTTATTTTAGGGGACAGACTTGTGGTTTAACATGGCACGAGACATTCTCTCTAATTTTTGGTGCTCAACATTATGTCCTCACTTACCTGAAACTGTTTTGCGCTGTCCCCAGGGCCCTTTTCTATTCACAGGGATTTGTAGGGAAAACCACCCTTGGAACTAGGTCGAAATTTAAAGGTAGGCATTCGACAAAGGTTACCGGTCATTTCGCCCCGGTTAATTATTCCTCGTTCTATAAGCCAGAAAGCAAAACAAGCACGTCTTAAATATAATATTCCTCGTTCTAGAAAAGGGGACTATTTCATTTTGAAGCACGATGAATGACTCGAAAATAGGGGGCTAAGTGACCGGTTACCGGCAAAATGACCGGTTTAATACCTCGACCAATACCTTATTTCTGTTGCGAACGCTTTCGAGTTTGTCACCATATCCATAGTAACTGCTGACCAGTTACAATACGTGCTGACAATAAAATGAACCAATCAGATCTCAGATCAATCAGGTGTACCTGGTTCCAAAAAGCGCGGGAAAAAGCATGGGAGCAAGTCACGAGGCTTTGGGGGCAAGAATTTCAGCCAATCAAAACGCGTAGCAATTCAAGGTAAAGGCATTGACATCAGCAATGACTTAGCAATAACTTAAGTAGTGTGTTTGAAACTAGCAATACACTAAGAGAGGTAGATCAAAGATAGTTTGACAGTTGTAATAGTCTTAATTTTTTTTAAATTGTCCTCCAGATAGTAGTGTTTTTATTTCTTGCGGCAACGACTACCATAATCTATTTCCAGTAAAGCGAACAAATTCTCCAAATCTTGGAGATCTTGGGAAGAGTAAGACGTATTCAGTTTTTGCTTTTTCCTTAATTGCTTGACATGGTTTCCCCGGCATTTGGTTTTAGAGGGAATGCCAAGTCCCGGCAAATTCACTTGTGGAGCCGTGGAAAGCGCTTCAGTAAAGGACTATGTTCACAAAGATGGCCAAGCGTACGTGGACCTGATCAAGACAGCTGCGAGAGGACTGAAGGAAGAACTTCGTGTCGAACTGAAAGGAAGCGATATCGAGGCTCTTTGCCTCACAACCGTATACCTCAAATTTGACACGCACGAGTGGGGTTGTTGTGGCTACGTCGACCTGTCGGATCCCCGAGTCTCGCCCGAATGCCGACTGACATATGAGCAGATAGAGTCTAGGTTCACCTCAGGCCCAAAGGACAAGTTCAAGCATGCAAATCTGGTTGCTTTGGACTTTGAACTATCGGAGATGGTCGAGTTCGTACGGGACAATTACGAAGATTTTGCCAGCTCTGCTAAGCTGGTGGTAGTGAAAGTTTTGCAATCGTTTTTTGGAGTTGCTGCTGTGGAGAGAGCCTTTTGTGTTTACATGGAAGATCGAGAGAGCGTTTCCCAAAATGCTAATTCGCAAATTTAAGCCACCTCGTTCCGGAAACGGGTCAAAAATTTTTTAGAGAGCAACTAAACGAAATACAAATCTCACACTGGAAACTTGTACCCTTCATTTATTTGTTAAGAAGGCTACATCAAGTAAATGACATTTTTGCAGTTTAGCTTGAAGTCAACAGATTACTGAATTAAGGCAGAGATTTTAAGGGAGGCTACAGCTCACTGCTGGTACAATCTTCTTCCCAGATTTACAACGACCCCGGCTAAAAATATATTCAATTGTAAAAGAAAGTGTCGAAATGGCTTATTCAAGAAAACTCCCTCCTCAAATGATAAGAGCCGCATGGTGGCGAAGAATACCATACTTTATATGAAAGAAGATCATCGCAGTTATAAACACGAAAAGAGAGCCTGAAAAAAAATTCATATCTCATTATCATTTTCATTTAAATAATTGTTTGTGTGTTTATATGTCACCTTCATCACATTTATTTATTTATTTATTTATTTATATATCTTTTACTTAGCCCATAATGAAATGGTTAACTAAAGCAGTGCTGTACATTTTTTAAATACACAATAGTTGATGTAATTTAAGTCTATATCTACATTGGAATACGAAAACTAAACTGGTGAGAAAAAGGCCTCACCTGCACACCAGGATTACTGTGACGTAACTCCTTCAAGTTGCGCGTGAAAGCTCACGGCTATTGCCTGTTAACATTTGAAGAAATTGCGCATGATGTGAAATGACGTAATTAAGCCATCGAGTGAAGAAAACATAGTACAGTCATCCTACTTAACTGGTTGTTTTTAATCAAGCTACGGTGAGCATGGATAATAGAAAGACTGGGTCTTTCTATTATCATGCGGTGAGTTAGACGAATTTGAAACTTTATTTCTAATTCGTTTTGGAAAGAAAACTGTTACTACCTTTCTGAGACATCGCGTGCAATTGTTATGATCCCTTATATTTGCACAGACATTAGCGTATCGAAAGCAGATTTTTGAAATATGAGCAGGAAACGAGCAGTGACCTTTCAAGTTTGAAACAACCAAGAAAGTTGGTAGTTCAGGACTTGTACGGTAAAAAATAACTATCTTTAAACATGGATTGATGGTAGTCGACTCAGGCACGTAGGGCCAGCTGTGGTACCACAGTTTGAAACGTGCGGAAAGAGAGTCAAAAAACAAGGTTTCATCCACCGTTAACTGTTTATTTTTCTCTGCTTTATCTACGCGAATTTTATTATAGTTTTCTCTGGACTGAGTTGGCTTTCCCTTTTCGACGCTGACTCTCTTTCCAGGTCTGTTCACTGTGCCCCGGATGAGAATGACAGACCTTCTGAGCAGACTAAAATTTTTAAATCAACATCAGTCTATGTTCCCATCTATATTAGTGAGCTCACTAGAACTTAATAACAGTGTAACATACCTATTTATCTATTTAATTTTCGTACCATAGCTAAATGAGTATTTACCACTTACTTAATGCTATACATTCTTATTAAAAATAACTAACGTATTTGTGGCTATTTTTCCCGCAGCTACATGTAGTTTACGCTCAATGAACTAATGTGTGGTCNGTTTTCTCTGGACTGAGTTGGCTTTCCCTTTTCGACGCTGACTCTCTTTCCAGGTCTGTTCACTGTGCCCCGGATGAGAATGACAGACCTTCTGAGCAGACTAAAATTTTTAAATCAACATCAGTCTATGTTCCCATCTATATTAGTGAGCTCACTAGAACTTAATAACAGTGTAACATACCTATTTATCTATTTAATTTTCGTACCATAGCTAAATGAGTATTTACCACTTACTTAATGCTATACATTCTTATTAAAAATAACTAACGTATTTGTGGCTATTTTTCCCGCAGCTACATGTAGTTTACGCTCAATGAACTAATGTGTGGTCATTGAACTACTGGTGTGGTTATTGATTTGTTGTGTACTTATTGAACTGCTGTGTGGTTATTGAACTAACAAAAAAGAAAACTGTATCTAAAAATAAACCGGGCCTTGAAAACGCCATGCCATAGCCCTAATATGTGAGTTGCTCGCTCCGGATTATGGGGAGCCCGCTAGCAGCCTAGGTTATAGGCTCCTAACTCTTGTAATCCTGCCTTTTTATTTTAAGTTTGGTGAAGGAAAACAATTAATGAATGTACCCCCCAATCCTCTAACCTAGATCAAGTGCCCTCCTCGGGTTCTGAATGGGCCCCACCCACTCGTTTTGGACCAAACAAGTGTGAAAGATTTCATGAGTAGCCAAATCATCATTGATTGCCGAACAGCAATTTTCGCTGCTCCCCAGAACTTGCAGAGCACCCTGGAAAAATTTCAAGAAATGCAACGAAAAATTTTTTTACCTTGTTGATCTGTCATCTTCCATTCTGAAGGTATCACCTGAAGACTACTTTGAAACTGTTCTTGGGCTTCAAACACTGACCCTGTTGAGCACAATTTAACCCTTTAAGTTCTAAGAGTGACTAACATCAATTTTCTCTTGACAATATCAGTATATGATCAAGTGGAAGGTAATGAGAATTAACAAAGTGATCACTTAAGGAAATCTCTTAAGCAGTCTTTCAAGAAATGTGTGGAGGCCAGTGTGAATAATAATTTGTATGTTGATCTTGGGGCTTAAAGGGGTAAATCTTTCATTTTGCTGAACTGTTGAAGACAAGAGACCTTATCTCATGACCCTGAATCATTTGTTTTGCATATATAATTACGGTAGGTAATTTTTTAACTGACATCGTGGAGTTCTTTGGAAAAAAGGGTTGGCACCCCATAAACAGACTGCTCATGGCTAGTCTTTACACTTGTCTGCTCCAAAAAGATACCCTGTTCAAGGAGCTAAACAGTGAAAATGTATAAAACTTTTATAAGGCGCTAAAAACCATACCGTGTTCAACGGCACATACCCATATAGGCCAAAAAAGGAAGTGCCCCCCCCCCCACCCACCAGTGTGGGCACACGGTAAATTAATGGCCCTCATTCTCGATTTTTATCTTCATGACAAAATTAGGGGCTCACCGGAATGACTCATTCTAGAATGAGGTCATTCAATTTCCATGTATTTCTTTGTATTTGTTTACATGATAACGGAACAACATTTCTTTCCTGTTTAAGTCATTCCAATTTTCATTGCAAATGAAATCCTCATTCTGGTACAAAATTTTATAATTTCTGATATCATGTAAACTGAAAATGATCTTCATTCCAGATTGAAAATCGCAAATGGTTATGCATAATTTTGGAGGACAAATAAGGTGCATTATGGGAAATGTGGAAGTGGCGTATTTCCCCGGGGGTGGTACTTTAGGAATTTCTGGGTGGGGATGTGCCGCTGGGACCCTGGAACCCTTAACCTATAACAGAGCTAGTTCAGCTGAATTTTGCTACCCTATACTAGAGTAAACTCTCCAAATCCCCCTATCTTAGAGTAGCTAATTCCCTTGTCTAGATAAAATCTTCAACCAACTGATCATTTTCCTGAAAAATGATACCCTATTCTAGACCCAAACACTCTGATTTATATACCCTATCCTAGAGTAAACTGCCTGAAAACCATACCCTTCACAGCGGCACATACCTATATAGCCCATATATGGAAGTGCCCCCCCCGGGCGTATTTCGCGCCATCTTTAAATATTTTAATCATTCAAAATGAATAAGATCTGCATGCGTGAGGTAGCTTTGTTGTCACCACAAAGTATCCCCAAAGGACTTCATTGTCTTCATTGTTCGTTTTACAATACAAGTAACAATTCGCTATAGTCAAAAGGTTGGAACTACGATCACTAAAACAACATCATTTCTCTCTGCGCATTTCTTATATGAACTGTTGCAATCGTATAGTAACACCCTCAAGATAAGATGCTGAGGCGAGAAGGTCAACGATCGCGCGTTTAATTTCACAGTTCTAACAATAATTTGTGCTACAAAATATTAAAATGCACAATTTCACTCACCAAACGTATATGTCTTATGAAAGTATGAATCAGTAATACCTGCATCAGTCCGCTCCCCCTCCTTTTCCCACGTCATATCTTACATCAAGTTTGATTGGTTCAAGTCCCTTGGCCTAATATGGAGACAACTGCACTGCGAAAATCAATGAAAAACGCTGTTCTATTCAACGGCATTTTCCGGGAATCCCCTTACAGACTTCGGCCATCTTGGTTTACGACTTCAGAGCTGAGTACCTGCAACTGGCAACGAAGTACCAGTTATATGCAGTACACGAAATACAGGGATCGGTCTTAAAGAATCATGACTCATTTGGCTGATAAATTTGCAAGTTTATCGTTAAAGGAAATAAACAAAATCCAGGAACAAGTCTGTTCTGCAATCAGCGCTCTTCACAGTGGAAAAGACCTGTTATCAATAAAGAAGAATGTTCAATACATCTTGGAGCAAGTCAGCAAGAACCTAGATTTGATCAAGGCTTCATGCAAGGAAAAAGGTACTAATCGACACTTCGCGGGAAACGGATTTTATACACTGTCTGCTGGTTGGATCATGCCCGGGGGGGGATACTCCTGAGAAATATTGGCGAGGGTGTGCCGCCCTGTTCTCCAAATCCTGACACTATTTCAGGCAAAAAAATGCCACTTTTCATACCCTTATTTAGACCTGGTCTTTAAGAAATTATGTCATTATTACTTAAATTAGAACAACAACAAAAAAGTGTAAGCCCGGGGGGGGGGGGTACTCACATACATTACCTATACGGGTATGTGCCGCCCAAAGGGGTCGTGATTTTGAAGCTCCTGATTTAGAACGGGGTATCCATTTCAGAGGCATTTTCTAGAACGGGGTATAATATTTCGAACGCACGAAAGCTCCACTTTTGTAAGCAGCTATTTGAAACTATTCAAGGACAGAGTGCTTTTAAAAATACGGTTCAATACGTTATAACTGTTGTTATAACTGTTGTACTCTTTTTGCACCCTAGAACGGAGTATAAAAAATTGGCCCATTTCTAGAACAGGGTATCAGTTTTAGGGCGAATACTAG